GAATGATACTATTTACATACCACAGTGCAGCAAGTTGCAAGCAAATTCATCACAGCTAGTATTGTCATATATATATATATATATATATATATATATATATATATATATATATATATATATATATATATATATATATATATATATATATATATAGATATACATATATATATCAACTGTTTCAGACAAAGTGACAGAGATATCTTTTCAAAAACAATATGAGACACAGTTGGGTATTCTTTTGTTCTTTCTGCCACAATGCCACTTAATCATTCCTCTTTACATATCAAATCATGGGCAAAAGAGTATTTTAATGGCAGGTGTTTGTTTTGAACCTGCAAGCAATATTAAAAAAAAAACAATCCAGGCCTCTAAATGCACTGGGGTAGTTTGATATCCGAAGAAAGAATCAAAGAAACTACTTGGTAGTAGAACGGCAAACCGCCATTTCTCGACCAGGTATGTTGAATGAACTGATCCATTTCAGGACAGGAAGTCTGCTCAAGCATGAAAAAGATCCACTGTCGTTTTAAAACCAGTTACGGTAGGGCATGGAGCATTATCAAGACATGGGGTGCTCTTTTTGCAACGTTATCTGATCTTGAAATGGCACTGGGCCTTTTCAAAACAGCGTCTAATAGTAAACACACCAATCGACTATATATTTTACAGGCTACTTACAGGAATATGAACAGCCATTATTTTACTTGTATTACTTCTTTTTTATAAGGAACATATGACGCAGTTACATCCAGTGGTGTTGGCGGATACTTTTGCAGCAAAGCAGTGAGAGAGCTTGCAAGAATAGTTAAGTCAGGTAAGTCGAAGTTGGACGGCTTCATTTGAAGCAAAAACATTACTAACCGTTATTATTGGTGCCCCAATCTTTATTTTCATTGTACAGGGGGTAGTACATATTGTCCAGTTTGTTCATTCATGTGTGTGTGTGTGTGTGTGTGTGTGTGTGTGTGTGTGTGTGTGTGTGTGTGTGTGAGTGACATAAATATATACATTAAACAGTGATGACTCAGAAGTCTTAACCTAAGTGACAGAAAAAGCTAAAATCAACAAATTTGTCAAAATTTAACAGATAAGTCATTGCCCTATAACAAAAATAGGAAAATTAAAAGAACTTACATTATTGTGAAGTACATACCAAAAGGTCATAAAAGATATATCACAAATATAAAAGTATAGTATATTCTAAATGAATTCTAGCGGTGTCACGAATAAATTCCAGTCTTCAAGGACCCGATATATCAGGAGCATGTAATAGTTTTTATATGCTATCCATCGTGATACATCACACTGATATAATACAAAATCCTAATAAATGAATTCATAATAACCCCATATAATAACAGTGATTTAATCCGAAAATATTATTGAGCACTTTGTCATTAAAGTGAATTATTGAAATAAATAAATACTTTCGAATTAACACCAAACACAAATTAAAGACTGATTCCACTTTGGATGCTAAGATAGAAATGATTATAATAAAAACAATAAAAATATTAAAACGTAAGTCACTAATACAGGACCAGGATGAGGGCCAAAAGTTCATTTCCAGAATATTCGAATTTTCGACTAGACGAGGTAAAGAACATGCAAAGTAACAGGTCCAACGGGAATTCCGGCGGTGAAATCAATGTCCTGAATTAAAATCCAGCACACATGTTTACTTACAAATTATAATAACCTTAATATATTCTCTAATATCATATACAGATATTAGTTATAATAGTTATGTATAATGTTGTTTTTAAAAATAGACTTCATTCTGGTACGCACAATCTGCTATCCCCCAATATGGACATTGTTTATACTATATATACCACAAAAGCACAGACAATGTGTGTAATATGACTTGAAAATGTGCGTAATTTGACACGGACAATGTGTATAATTTGACACGGACAATATGTGTGACACAGACAATGTGTGTTGTTTTAAACGGATAATGCTGATAATGTGACACGGACAATGTGCATAATTTTACACAGACAATATGTGCAATTTGACACATACAAATGTGTGTAATTTGATATGGACAATGTGCTAAATGTGACACGCACAATGTGTGTGTGTGTAATTTTACACGCACAATGTGTGTAATTTGACACGGACAATATATGTAATTTGACACTGACAATATGTATAAACTTACTCGTTATGAACGATAGATCTTTTCCTTTGGTGACCTCCTCTAATTATTCAAGCGAATTAGTTTCTTATATCTATTGTTTTTGTTTTAATCTAAATACCTGATAGAAATGTTTTTCGCACTATCCTAAATCAAACAAAACTATATTAAAATATATATTTATAAGAAATTAAGTATCAATTATATGCCACTAACCACCATATTTTGAACATTAGACAAATATGCGTTACTCTATCACTGAATTATTAAGACAATTACGTTCAAAGATTCCTAAATATTTGAGGAAAAAAATGCGAGTATTAATTAATCTGGATTTTTCCTATTCTGCAATATATATATATATATACATATATATATATATATATATATATATATATATATATATATATATATATATATATATACATATATATATATATATATATATATATATATATATATATATATATATATACAGGTGTTGTCTTTTATATTTTTTCTTCAGGTGGCACCATGGTCTTCGTATCCAACCATGATTTAAGATCGTCCCAAAATGTTCTTGAAAAAACCTTGAAAGCCCTTGAAAATGAGAAAAAGATCATGTTAGTAAAACAACAAGTTAGTGACGGATATCTGCACAAACAGAGAGCTGATATGATAGTATACAAAGTACTGTAGACGAAAATTATGGTAACTATGAAGCTGCGATTCGGCTGCATATTAACCACCTTCGAAAGTATCACGTGACGTAAAATTGTGTGGAACTGTAATCCCCCATGTAGCTACATTTGATTTGTGATGTGATTTGTGATAAGGTCAACCACCATGCCTCGTTAATTAGTTTGTTATGTAATTAGCTACAACAAGTGATTTAACAAATTCCTATACTCTTTTAGCTGGGTAGCAAAATTATCAATTTGTTTTTCAATTCGTCCAGTTCCATTTCTTCTGTAGGTGGGCAGTATGGTTGGGATTCAATCAAAGAATGTTACGAAATTAATGGACTTATACTTAGATTAGTCTTTTCTAACGTAAAGTTCAAAACAATAATAATGTTTACAACACTTTCATATATATTGATATAATCTCTCTCTCTCTCTCTCTCTCTCTCTCTCTCTCTCTCTCTCTCTCTCTCTCTCTCTCTCTCTCTCTCTCTCTCTCTCTCTCTCTCTCTCATTTCTTCATCCGTTGGACAACAGCTAGTAATAATTTACCTTTGTACTGGTTCTAATATATACATTCTTGGCAATATTGTTATGTTTTATTTATGTTAACCATTTATAAATATGTATAAAAATATACCTCAATGTAAGCTTTATAAATACTCCCTCAGCTGTTGTGAAATTGTCAGAACTAATTGACTGTATGCCAATATTTAACCATAACAATGTAATAAAATCATACACAACCCTAATCTTTGCATACAAGTTAGTGTTTTAAACACGCACATGTGTGATTCGATCAAATTTCATTTGGTAATACAAATTAGATAAGGGCGAATGTTCTGCAGATAACATAAAGCCATTTTCTATGGCTCAGCATAATTCCCGTGTACCATACATTCATTTATCTAGTTCCTGTGTACCACAAATTGGTTATGTAGTGTATCAAGTTCTCGTGTAACCCACATTGATTATATAGTGTATCAAGTTCCCGTTTACCACAAATTGGTCATATCGTGTATCAAGTTCCCGTGCAGCACACATTGGTTATATAGTTTACCACGTTCTAGTGTACCACAAATTGATTATATAGTCTAACAAGTTCCCGTGTACCACACACTAATTATATGGTCTATTAAGTTCCTGTGTATCAAAAATTGGTTGTGTAATGTATCAAGTTCCCGAATACCACAGATTTGTTATATGGTTTATCAAGTTCCGGTGTATCACAAATTGGTGTTAAGAGTCCATGCTCTTAAAGAAATAAGTAGCAGAAAAGAGTGAAAGGCATTACTCTTTGTAAAATTCAACAAATAATATATTTTCCTTGAACAGAAAGTAAAAATGAGCAACCAAAAGTTAAGGTATTGTGATCTAAATGCAAAAATAATCAAAAAATTACAGACACACGTACGAAGTGTTGAAGTGTCAACAGTCTTTTGTTGAATCACAGTGATATATTTCCAGGTTTGAATTCACTATAAATTCCAGTGAATATATCTGTCCATGAATTTAATCAAAGCACGTTTTGTATTTCCAAAGAAAATAATAATTTGAATTCAATAATTTGAAGAAAATCAATTTCAGCCCACTAATTACATACCGTCGCAACATATAAAACAACTTAAAAGTGCTAGATCTTAAAGTTCCAAGATTGTATAGTTTTCTACATTACATCATTTCACAATTGGTATTTTCTAAAACAGAAAAATGAAACCCATGACCGAATTTAAAATAACCTTCTAGAATAATCCTGATGCTCCCAAAATAAAAAGCGTAAAAGAGACAAAGTAAAATCCACTAAGGAAATTCTAAAACTTAGACCTAGACCCAAATAGATATATTTACTTCTATTAATTATACTGACTTTAAACTCAACACATGGACAATAATTAATAAAATAAAAAATTAATTCAGGTCAAGTAGAAATTGACTAAATTCTGGACCAGGTTAAGCCCAACATAAAATATTACATTATTATGGAATGTAGTGAAATAAAAAAAACAATAAAATACTAAGAAACAAACAGTGTAAATATACATAACACTGGTCATATGATGCATCAAGTTCCAGAGTGCCACAGATTGCATGCGTAGTGTATCAAGTTTTCGTGTACCACAAATTGTTTCTATACTGTACAGAGTTCCCGTGTACGACAAATTTGTTATATAGTGTATCACGTTCTTGTGCACACCACTCCGGTGGCCTAGTGGTTAGAGCGTCCACCTGGGATGCGAATGGTCGTGGGTTCGATCCCGTGCAAAGTCATATCAATAACTTGTAAAAATGGTACTAATAACTAACTCGCTTGACGCTCGGCATTAAGAGGTTAGTGTTAGGACTTGTTGACTTGGTGTCAGGATAATCTGACTGGTTGATACATGATGCTACATGTATGCGGCATGATGCTCCAGTGCTAGACATCACTATAAACTTCCACACAGCAGAGATCGTAACTATGACTGAAAAATTGTTAAAGCTACTTTACAAATCCAAATCAGACACACATGGACACGTTCCCACGTACCACATATTGGTTACTGTGTATCAAGTGTCCACTTTTTCTGTTACCTAAGGAAGAATTCTTTAGTTTGTTTGTCTGGCATTTAACATAACCCTGCCTTGATTATGGATAGCCAACGTTGCATGAACTGTTTAAGTGTGTGTATGTATTTTTATGTAGTCTTCTTACATAGATAGTTGAAAAGGACTAGAATGTTATAAACACTTCAATTATTGTGCTTAAAATATTAACTGCAATATTACCGAACCTAAAGACAACACAAATTGAAACATGCTTCAAAAATGTATTTTAATAGGGATCTTTAATAGTTTTAATTATATGAAATTTATCGATTAATGACATAACTTATATATGAGTTATCAATATCCAGAGGAAAATTCGACTTGCTATTTAATTAAAAACAAAACTGCCTTCCGAATTTTTGGACAGTTTAAGGTCTTGTACGGACATTTTTAGTCTGGTTCCATGCACTTAGTATATCGGATTGCCATGCATGGAGCATACAAAGCAGGGAACCATACTGGGCCATTTTCTTCAATATTATTGCAAAACTGTATACTTATTTGTATTCTAGATTGTTTTTTCATGCCTGTAAGAAGGTAACCGTCGTAAAATAAAATCCCTTATAGTAAAATAAATTAATTTCAATTTACATATTCAGCTCATGCGTTCTGAATCAAAACCATGAACTTTTTGGGCAAAACTGTTTGTTGTCACCGTTAAATTAACAGCCTTGGTAATGTAGTTTACGACGCAAATAGGGCACAGTCGAATTTAGTGGTCAATATTAATGTAGTTCACGACGCAAATAGGGCACATTTGAATATTGATGTAGTTCGCTCAATAAATAGTTCGTGTACAGATTAAACGAACACTGTCGAAAAGGGGAACATTTATTATTATTAACCATTTACTGTGCTTGTGGTCATCATTCTGAAGACTAGCGATATTTCATGGAGGCAAACATCATCGTATTGTAGTGACATAGTATGCTCGTGGTATATGCCAAAAGATTGCATGGGAGTTTGGTGGGGTGGGGGTTACAATTTGTTGTTTATGCCGTATGTTTTTTATTAAAGATGTATTACACAATTTGCATCACTTTCTCATTAAAATTTTAACGTTTATTTAAAATCTTTCACGGTGCTTACCTGATTTATTTTCTCTCACATCTTTGCTTACACATTTATAAAAGAACTAAAATGAAAATTTATAGAGAAACAGAAAATATTAATATGATGTATAATAGTTAAAAAATCAAGAAAAAGAATCAATATAAAAACATATATGATATATAACTCTAAACTATTACATATACCTTTAAATCTATTTTTTAAAATAAGATTTTCTTATGAAATCTAGAACATAACTTTCAGCAAGTTAAAATCATTTGTTAATTTTAACGGTTGTAGTAATATGTAATTTTATGTACATTATATATATATATATATATATATATATATATATATTTATATATATGTATATATATATATATATATATAAATGTATATATTTATATATTTTTATATATGTATATATATATATATGTGTATATATTTATATATATATATATATATATATATATATATATATATATATATATATATATACAAAAATAACTAACGAAAAGAGTGTAGTTAACGAGCTTTATAAATTTAACAAAATATTTTATTTCATTTGAAAACAAGATAATTCGGCTCTGATAGAATTCACGGATAAAGACTTTCACTGGAATTTATAATTATTTGAAACCTGGAATAATGTTTCTTAGATTCAACAACAGACTGTCGACACATCAGTACTTCGGAGGATATAACAGATATGTCATCGCCTTCAAATTTGGATCTCCTCAGAACTTCAACTGAATTTTATTCAAGACTTTGTATTACTCCTTATTTCATTTTAGATTTGATTCGCAATGCTTTTAGTTCCTTTTTCCTCATTTTCACTTGGTAAATAAATTATTTGTCCAATTTTGCAAAGCTTGTTGTCTTAACACTTTTTTTTATTTTAAGAGCATAGACTCATGACAGATGTTATATTTCCAACCATTAATTATGGTACTAGCGCAGTTCAGAAAAGATTTGTTGCAGTTTCACGTGTATTACAGTTGACTCAACTTTACGTTGACACCGTTTTGTGGGATAAATGTCAGTAACAATTTATTTTAATGGAAAACGCCACTGAAATATCAGGCAGTAGGAATTTCCAACGATGCTCACGGAATCCAGCATTCAATGCTGTATGCCAATGGCGTATAAGCGCGATAACAGCAAAAAAAAAAATGCTTCACGACTGCGGGGTACTGCATCGATATTTTAGTTTGTATTTTAGAGACACGGTAGTGTTAGCAGAGAAAATTAGTAGTTGACGATAAAGTAAACAATGGCCATTGTACACGATGCGGAGGCCACTCGCTATAGGTTGGTAAAGTTAAGTTTGCTTGTATATTGAGATTGCTACAGATTTAGGCTTGGCGATGTTGTTCTGGGGTTCTTTAGCAGAATTGTCCCAGTTGCTCGCGAAAATGGAATTTCATTGCCCCAAATACTCGGTGAGAATGCCATTGGGCTTGACAATGATAAGGTTATTGACAAGGCTGGTTGCGTTTCAGGCGGATTACTGCCTGGAGTGCTTTTCTTGTGATGAAAGATAGATTATCTAGATTAGTTTACGGATGTTCTAAGTTTAAACTGCAGTTGTTGTTGTTGTTATTGTTCGTCCTTCGTTCTCAAAGACGACCATGACTGAGCGTCTGGAATATTCTGTGAGTACGCAGATGGCTGGTGAGGCCAATCCGCGCTCTGAAGTGTCAAGGGCAATGAAGGCATTGGCCTGGATCGATTTAGGGTTGGCGATGTCTCTGCTCTTCCTCTGACGGCGTTTTTATTTGGCCTCGATGATCCGTTGCTCTTCAAAATCATCAGCGCCTAAATTTATCTGTTAGTGCCAGGCATCGCCGTCTATAGCAAGCTGCTCCCAACTGTCAGGATCAATACAACATGACTTCATTGAAGCTTTGAGCATGTCCTTGTTCCACTTCTTTTGGCCTCAGTTAGTTCCTCACAAAATAGTTTCTTCGGGATGCGCTCATCAGGCATACTGCAGACATGGCCAGCTTAGCGGAGCTGTGATCTTTTGAGCATGGCATGGACGCTTGTCATCTCAGCTCTCTGGAGGACTTCTGTGTCAGAAATCTTGTCATGCCATTTGATGTGGAGCAGTTTTCTGAGACAGCGTATGTGGAAGGTGTTTATCTCTCTTTCATGATGACTGTACACCGTCCATGTCTCACAAGCGTAAAAGGAGGGTAGTAAAACTGCGCGGTACACCTTGATATTGGTTTTCAGATTGATTCCTCTTCTATTCTATACAGAGTTGTGGAGTCTGCCAAAGTCTGCACTTGCGCGAGCAATCCTGAGGGTGACCGCTTCATTGATGTAGACTGTGCGTGGCAAGGTGATGCCAAGGTAGATGAACTTGACAGCAACGGCGAGCTTCTGGTCATTGACAGCAATGTTTAGTTCAGTGTATGGGATTGAAGGTGCAGGCTGTTACATGATTTTCATCATCATCGTACTTATTGCGAGTCCGAAGTCTGTGCAGGCGTTGGAGAAGCGATCCATACTTTCTTGCATGTCAGATTGAGTACAATAATTTAAAGCACAGTCGTTAGCACAGAGGAGGTCGCGCATGGTGTCTTCCTGGACTTTGGTCTTAGCCTGCAGTCTTCTAAGTTTGAAGATGTTCCTTTCTGTCCAAAACAGGATATCGATGCCAATGTTACACTCACGGAAAGCGTCGGTCAGCATTGCTGTGAACATCATACTGAACATGGCTGGAGCAAGAACACAGCCTTGTTTGACACCAAGTGTCACTGGGAAGGGCAGGGATAATTCTCCTACATCCTGTACTCTAGCGAGCATGCAATTCTGGAATAGTCTGACCATGGTGATGAACTTCTTACGGAATCCGAACTTTGCCATGATCCTCCTCAGACTCATATTGTCAAATACCTTGGTGAGGTCCACAAAGGTGGTGTAGAGGCCGACGTTCTGCTCTTGGCATTTCTCCTGGAGTTGTCTGGCTGCAAAAATCATGCCCACGGTGCCTCGATCCTGCCTAAATCCGCACTGACTCTCCGGTATCATGCCTTGCTCCAGGTGGACGGTTAGTTGTTTTTATCAGAATTCAGGTCAGTATTTTTCCTGCTATGGATAATAGGGAGATGCCACGGTGGTTGACGCATGCTTGCCGGTTCCTTTCCTCTTGTAGATGTGGACAATAGATTCATGTTTGAACTTCTGCGGAATCCTCTCCTGGTTCCAAATAGACTCGAAGAGGTCAGTAAGCTTATGCGACAGTAGGGGACAACCAGCTGCGTAGACCTCCACTTGGATGGAGTCAGAGCCCGGGGCTTTGCCAATGGAGACGCTTTTAATTGCCTTCTTTACTTCTGTGAGACTTGGCGAATCGAAAGGCATAAGTGATCGTCTGATGACCGTTCGACTGCCGTTCCCAAGAAAGCTATAGGCCACACTAGTCATCACCTATGCCCAACACTGACAAACTACAATGAGATCAAGGAAAAGTTCTACGAGGAACTGAGATCCACTATTCCTGCCGTGACCAAAACAGATATACTCATGATCCTTGATGACTTCAACGCCTGGGATGGCGCAGATCACACCTTATGGGAAGGAGTACTGGGAGAAAAGTGGATTGGCAGATGCAATAGCAATG